AGGTTCCACAGACGTGACAAAAGTAGTTGACGAGACGATTTCACCAAGTAAATCACCTTGTATGCGAAAAATAATTCTTGAAATAGATTCATAAGTTTGACAAGACCCTAGGTGTAAAGATTCTAGCGCGACATACGAATTTTTGAATTTATAGGGAGGATCCACGGACATGACGAAAATTTTGTAACAGACTTCAATACATACAAATTAATGTATAAAAGTCGAGTAAATTATTTTCATGTTCAGGAAAAATCAGGAAACACAAAAATAAGGTGTTTACCAACACTATGTCTCATTATTTCTATTCTGTTAATGAAAGAAAAAAACTTTTTCGTGCTCTGGGATTCCGTTGAGACTGTCCACGGACATGATAAATCACATTCCAGGACGAGATAATCATTAAAAAAATTTTTTGAATAAAAATATCAAATAAGTAGGAATCAAAAGAGGGTATTTTTATTATTAAATGAAAAAAAAAATGTTGCAAAAATAGTTTTTTCGACAATGTACAGTAGATGTGACCTACTGTCTGCCTATGTATTCAGAACCCCTCACGTGTGAGGGAGATGGATGTATAGAAGTAATTCTTGCAGTTTCACTTTGACCGGCGAAAGAAACACGCATAGTCCTATACTATGATTATTTTGGTAGCTGTACATTGAGATGAAATGATACTTGAGTAGCGTAATAAATAGATACAACAGGGGTCTCAAATTAGACCCTCGCCATTGAGGTTACGGAAACGGCAAGGGAGACGGAGTCGCTTAAATAGGGGCAGAGCTGAGTATTTAGGTAACTAACGAAATTCTGATTAGAAAGTTTTAATATCTGAAGTACTTCCAGAGAGTGAAATCGTTTTATTTATTTCCTGACTTTATTTGTAAGGGAATGTTGAAGTAAATTGCACACTAATATTGCCACTGTTTTTCCTGTGCTGTAATAACTTCAATATCACGTTTCGCCTCTTGTTTTCCAGCATCAACTTTATTCTTTCTTAATTGCACCATATTGGATCAGGTGAAAAGAGTTTTTAAATCAAACATGAATAAAATGTCATACATTGACATTGCCAAATATTAGTGATTTCAAAAAAAGAAGAACAGAATTTCTTAGGTATAGGCCTTGAAATTATTAGATGGGCATTTCTTCCATATATTAGATTTATCGCCAAATCACTTTTATTTTGCCCTGACTGTATTTCAGCTGGGATTTTCAAATAAAAAGCATGCTTTGCCATTTTCTCCACAAGATGGCGTAGTCAAATGTTCAATTCGAGATGTCTTCCTCCGACTTCCATCACCAATCTTGTTTTTTCATGTGGACGCTATATCAGAATGATATGCATTTAAATGGAGTTTTCAGTCCTCAATTCAGTGTTGTATTTCCTAAGATGACCATGGATTTGTTGTTCGAACCAGAATTACAAGGAAATAGAAATTTACGGTCAATTTATCCAGAGGAGCGTAAGACAGCTTTGAAGACCTCAAAACTTCGAATACCTCAAACATAGTAACAGAGTTTGGAAGGCCGAGACGAGGGAAAGTAAAGTGAGCAGTGTTTAATCTACAGAGAAGAGTCAGGCCTTGCCTAAAAAATAACGGACAAGGTTCCGAATATCTGCTATGATTTACCTATGTTTATTTATGATTATTGTTATTACCACCAATAAAATTTCTATTTTGTGTTTAAGTTTCACCATATCCTTTCATTTGTTCATGGTTTTAGTTTCAATAACAAATTCATGGCCGACTAAGGAAATACATCCCTGAATTTAAGACTAATAGACTATCCATATAAAAAACAAAATTTTGACTACGCTATCGTATCCAGGAGAAAGGTGACAATAACAACTTGAAATTTATTTGAAATACCATCTCAAATAATTTCAAAAAATATGAATGGTTTAGCGATACATCTGGTATATGAAGCAAATGGCTAGCTGATCATTTCAAGGCCTACCTAGAAAATTGTATTCCTAGTTTTGAGATAACTAAGGTTTGGCAATGTTGGAATCCGACTCTATTTGCCTATGCAAAACTTTAGTCTGACATCCTTAAGAAAAAATAAAGTTTATGCCGAAGTCCGATAGACAAAACGTCGTATTGAAGAAAGAATTATAACGATTTTGGAGAATTAGGATTTTTCTGTCTCTCTACGAAAGTACCTATTTTGATGAAAGGTTCTGAGCGGTATTTTGTTAGTTATCTGAATACACCTATTTAAGCGACTTCGTATCCCCTACCGTTTTCGAGATCCCAGTAGTGAGAATTTGAAGCACCCGGTATAGCGAAACTGCATACTCTAACAGATCTACATACATTTTGCTGCAGAACTATACAATAGCACAGATCCTGTTGCGTAACTATATTTGACATTTTAGATGAGCGATAGCGTTTCATGTTTTATTGGCAGGTTCGCCCTTATGCGTTAGTCGATACTTTTCGATGATCTGCTATACTGTTTCCGATGATGATTAGAGATAACACGACGTACTAAAATGTGTTGATACAGATCTTGTGTCTTGAATATATTTATTATCCCTCATGACCTTTTGTTTCGTTACCGAAATCCTAGACTCCGAATTCAATGAATAAGTGATAATGCAGCATCGCAAACTAAGTACATGGTAGATACTACTGTGGTAAAATACATCTCCTGTCTAGTCAGTACCACTGAGAGATTCTTCTTGTACTTCAAAATGCCTTGCGTTAGTGCATGTCAATGTCATAGTCACTAAAAGAGATTAGCATACGTTATGCCTTTTCGAAGAATCGTCTGCAAAAAATGATTTTAATCAAATAGCTGAACCTGTGCTCCGGGGAGAAATCATAATCAGTCCTCAAATAATCACTGTAACATTATGTATGTTGAAAATATAAATTTGAAATAGAATGTTAAAATTGTCGTTTGTTTTGACATACCTCGTCCTTCAAAACAAGGCATTTACATATTATGAGGTCAAATAAGATCTCTTTTGGCACCATTCATCTGAGACACGCCCATGGTAACGGCACAACACTGCAACTATATAAAAACTTTATCTGTGCTACTGAAGAACGAAACAGAGTTAGTGTCTTGTTCTCCAGATTATGCTCGTTATATTCTATTTGCAGAATACGTATAATTATCTGTTTCATGCCATGACCAGCTATAGTTTGGAGTCCTTTTGATTAACCAGCATTTTCCATTATCCGTTTCAGAGACAGACGTGAGACCATTTCCAAGTTCCTTCTTCTTTAAGACAAGCAAAACATACGATTAGCATTGATGAGTCAACGCGGAATAGCTATTTGTGTATAAATTACGGACACTACTTTTGTAAATGTATTTGGTAATAGGAATTTGATATTGCGCCCTTCTTCACTTGCACTAAGATACAAAAAGATATTTCGTATCTCAGCATTAGCTGATGGAATGTCGTCCAAATAACAATGATCCTAAAACTAGAAAAAAAACCATTGAAATTGCCTCATATAGACGCACAAGCCATCTACCGCTGCTTTCAAAGCTGTTTTGAAAAAGTAAAAACTAAATTAATACCGAATCGTCAATATGGTTTCTAGGAGAAACATTGAACTATTGAACAAGTGCACAGAATTTTGAATATAATTAATTGACTGTGCTCTGAATTGAAACAACTCATCTCTTATCCACATTACTTGATTCTGAAGCCATACGAGACAAAAGGTACCTTCTCGTAAAGCGTAAAGCGTTTATCGGTTCAGGCTTTCCACAAGGAAGTAGTTTAGGACCTACCCTCTTCTGTATACCATAGATCTACCCAGTGTAAGTGATGTATGCATAGCAAGCCCCAATTTCATGTGCGTATTTTTTATTGAAAATGTTAAAAATATACTTATTTTACCATCAAATATATTACACATTTGCTAACAGTTGCTTCCCAAATACGAATTAGGAATGAAAAGCCGTCTCAAACTTAGACGGGTTGCCTCAAATCAACCTATATCATAATCATCTCGATGGTATCAATTATCTCGGGAGAAGTTCATCACCATCAGTAAAAGCCGGCTGTATCTGTAAACAATTCGGGGCAAGCAGGTGCCAGCGTGCCAGGTCCGTCCTAGACATTAGCCGACTCGACGGTCCATTACGCTACACGGACGTATATGAGGAGGAACAGGTGAAAATGCCGGCATAGGCGGAGATTTGGTGGTTTCGTCGAGGAAACACGAGAATGCATTGAAGAATTTTATATACCTACGTTCCAGTCATACGTTCATCCTCTAGTTTACTTAGATCTGTCTTGATATAATAACACGGACTAGGCCGGTATAGGCTACTGTATTAAGGCAATGCATGCGATCAATGGTCGATAATATGGATACATACAAGCTAACAATTACCGTGGAACCGACGTCTCAAATATCCACCGCCGTATCGATGATACGGAGCCTCCAGCTTGCAGGGGCCCCCACGTAGGAAAAAAATGCGTAAGGTACTTTTCGCAACCTCATGCAAAGCCACACGCTAAATTAAGAAACCGCAACACTTTCGTTCTTCGTTATGCATGGTGATAACAACTTTTGTTAGTTGACTCGGGGTACTTATAAAGCATTCTCCTATGTCTGTTTTCGAATTTCCCATGGGTCAAGATAAGCCCTGATAAAGAAACAAAATGTTAGAGCTCCATTAGGCTTACGAACATTCTCTAACCTGGAAAAATGAGGTATGACGGAAATAAATTTTATACATTTTTAGAAATTTCAACTTCTCCACAAAGCCGTTTGGTTACCTTTAAGCATTTTCAGAAAGTTGCAAAGCATAGAACAACAAACTTTGGGGCTATATGAAGGCTATTTTATTATTTTATACATAATATTGTTGCCATTTAAACAATTTTTGAAAATGAAGTGCCATTATCTGAAGGGTACAGGTCCATAATGAGCTAAGTCGCCAAATGTTTATTTCGTACAAAACAGAGTTTAGCTTTTAAAACTAGTAATTGATAAATTCTTGATGGTTATTATGAATTCTGTTAATTAGATTAGTTATTTGGGTAATTATTGAGACACACACAAGAAATTAAACTTATATTGTCATTTATACAAAGTAGAACATAAGCATTAATTGGTCAAACCATCAAACATTGTTGGCCTAAAGGGGCCAAGTCCAAAAAAAAACAAGGTATACCGAAAAGTAGACAATAGTTATTAATATAAAATATACTTCTAGTTCTTGGGCAGGTTATCGAAAAATTGTTTTGCTTCGTCACCACAGAATCGTTTTAAATCTTGTAGGTGTTTAAATTTTTTAGCCGTGATGGGTATCAAACCTAAAAATAATTTTGTTGTTTAAAAAAAATAGTATTTCAAGATATAAGTATTTTTTATACCTGAATAAGAATACGGAGGAAGTACAAATTCATTTTGCAATAGCACAGGTCCCTTTCGCTTAGTCTCTTTTCCCTTCACTATTGCTGACTCCCATGCTCCATTATAGGACTCTCGGTAATATATTAGTCTATGATGTTCTTGATGTATTTCTAATTCTCGAATAGGACGGGAACGGAAAGGACATTCTTCAAATAATCCGTTTTGGTATTAAAAAAATTTGTCCATGCTCGAAAGTAGGATTGATCTATTTCCACAACGTCAAATGGTGATGGTTTTGCACGAGCACTTCTAAAAATTTCTACCCAATCTGAAGGAATCTCTGCTCTTTGGTGGGAGTTTATTAAGCCCATATTTTTGTCCGGTTCCATGTAGGAATGCCCACGAATAGGAAAAGTAACTTTAACATAATCAAGTCTATGTGTATTGTGGACAATATAATGCAAAAAACGAAACATCGTGTAATTTTTATTTTGCCCTCCACACGAGTCACAGAATATTTCAAGCGATCTTACTTGTAAATCGAGAAAATTCCATAAAAAGTCATTCAGCATTGAGCATACATCGTCGCTTTCCCTTTTTGCCAAGTGTTTCCGGGTAAATGTAAAACACACTTTTTTGCTGTCGATAGAATGTGGATATTAAAGGCATAGACGTCAGCTGGCTCTTATAGTAAACATCGTTTGTTGTTATGTTTGGGACACTGAGATTTGTCCAAAATCGAGACAAATAAGCTTCGTGAGTCACAGAGGTTCGACTTCGTTTCTTCGCAGCCCTTTTTCTACTGTAAAATACCTCAGCCTTTCTTTTGTGTACATAATTTTGTATTGTAATATGGCGTATTTCCTTTTGAAAGCGTTCTTTTTGAGCAATATCATACTCTTTAAACATCAGACTGAAGAGATTTTATTTTTATAAGAAAACTCATCGCAGAACTACATGTATCGGTCCTGGGATATCCAAAGGCTATGTTGAATTTTGTATTAAAGACTGTCCTGTATGACTCGTAAGATACTTTCATAGAAGGGTTCAACTCGCAAAACATTTTGAACATCTTTTTTATGTTTAAGTCTTCAGGTAAGTATTTTTCTACTATCCTTCACACTGTAGTGGCTTTTCCTGCCTTTAAATGACTTTATATGTTCGTATATTGCTGCAAGAACGTGAGCATCAAATTTTCTAGGATGGTTTTTATTTTCTCCTTTTTTATCTTTTGGAGCGACTCCAGTCATTTTTAGTGACTTTTGTAGTATCTCTAATTTTTTTTTCTTTATTCCATGAACAGACATAAAAGCTTGTCTACAAATATTTATTTCCTGTAAGCTATTATCAGTTCTAAAACGTACCCTGTAAGAATATGCACTACTTCTCAAATTTGCTACGTCTTCATCTTTCCTAGGCCTTCTTCGGCGAATGAGGAGTACCGTAATCAATCCACATAAG